GGTCGACTCTAGAGGATCCCACATACACAAATATATCTATAGGCATATATATATATATATATATATATATATGCGCGCACACAGATACACAAATATATCTATAGGCATATATATATATATATATATATATATATATATATATATATAATATATATATATAAATGTATATATATATTATATATATATTAATTCATATAGATATATTATGTCTTGTACTATATAATCAATATATGGATTCAAGTAGTGTATTAATATCTATATAGTTGTTGTGTGTGTATATAGCTATTTGTATACGTGTATTCATATATATAGTTTCTACACGTGTATGGCATAGACCCTTTCCTATATGATTGCGCAGACGTACGTAGTGTCCCCCCCGTGGTGTATTGTAAACAATGTCAGGCTTTGCCTATTGGTGCACACGAGTCGCATGTTTTACGGATGTTGTACGTTCTACCTCAAGGTTTGTCGTCTTGCGCATGTCAAAAGAATTTTGTGTGTGACCCTTCTAGTGCCAATAAATCTGGTTGGTTGTACTTCAACACTAAGTCTCCACCATTGATAGTGTCAGAATTCTCCTGGTGCACTTGTTCGTTGTTTTTCCCGAACGTAGATAGCAGATTCGCGTCATTCTAAGCACACATTGAGCGGGCATATCCAAGATCCAAGCAGTGTGATTTGCATGTGTAACAATGCAAGCGTTCAAGTCGAAGTACATCATTTTACGTCTGTCAGAAGATTCGTATTTATTTATCGGCTGCAGTTCATTCTCGGTGCGGGACCGAAGTCGCTTTGAGTTCGCTGGGGGTTATATTAGTTGCAGATAGATTCAGATTACTTGTATTGATCAGGTCCGTACCCAAATGTTTCTCCGCTAAATCTTACAGCCAAAGGAAACAGCCACTTATAGTAGTTGCGGGTAGAATCAGTCTACTTGTACTGATCGGGGTAAATACCCATATATCTCTTCTCTAAACTTTACAGCCAGAGAAAACAGCCACAGCAAGCACGCACATCCCTGAGCTCGGTGTGGTCACTAAACACAATGTCAAGGTATGTATGACTTTCGCTCGCCCATCTGGATATTTTGGTCAGGCTGACTCGATGTATATAATCTAGATATGTAGCATACCGAAGATTAACACTGTAGATGACCCTCTAGATAAGAAGTATAGAAGTAAAAATCCAAAGTAGGCCATCAAGATGGCCATGACTGTAGTTCGTCCTTTGCGAATGTGGTTTAGTCCATAGCCGCTTACCGCCTCATAGTGTGTACGCTTTTATCGCTTTTAAGGCCTAAGTTAAGTGCACGTCTCCACCTCATTTCAATCGTATGCAGCTTATTAAGTACCTCAACAAGGCCGTGTTTACCGTAGCATACAACGATGCCTTCTATGAAGATATCCAGAAAGTTGGCGAGTTCGCCAAGCTAGGTGAGTGTATGTGCAGCTGCCCCGACTAAAAGAAGTATCACAAGAACGAATCGTCATTGGGGCGCATGATATTTGAGCTGCCTTGCAAGTCTTTCACAAATTACACGTCGCAATCTCTTGGTTAAATATATATATCTCTGGGATCCAACACTGTCTTGCTCTAGTAGTTCATGCGCAGATTTAAAATTCGGTCTCCGGCCCATACGGCATACTACGCCACTTGTCGGATGAACCTGGTACGTTACAACTATGATACACAGTATTAGCTCTCATGCCCTCACTCACTGTCACTGTCACTTTCTGCACATTCTCCTTGTCGTGTCCTGGGCTGGGCTGCGTTGGGTTGGCTCGTCTATTGCAGCGTATTACGCTGACGTTCTGGTGGGCACGGTGTGCTGTAAGTTCGAAACGGACAAGAACGACCCGACCAAGAGGACGTGTTATATCATGACTCTGGGCTGCCTCGATCGCTACAGAAGGGTTGGTGTCGGTATGTTTGAGTGTTTAGGGTTTTAGGGTTTTTAGGGCTTAGCCAAAACGTACAAGTTGTCAGGGCGTACACACCCGCACGCTTGCGGTTAAGCGATAAGTCTAAACTCCTGTTAGCGGAGTTCCAACAAATACTTTGACAGCTGCCATCAGTGGAACAACGCCGAGAAGACAATTGGGTATCTTACAAGGCTGTGTTCACCTGACGTGCATACGCGTGATTCTGTTTCACCCATCAATAACATGAAGCAGTACCTTCTCCGTCTCGACGAGTGGTTCTATTTAACATGCATAGTATTTCATTCGGAAAGTCCAGTTCTGTGGACATCGCGACACGTAGTATCGGTAGTTGCGTTCCCGAATTTCGGCTATATAGTGTGCCTGTGCGCTTCTAAGCTGCTCAATGCTTCCCTGCTCTCTTCAGGAAGCCTACTGCTGCACCACATACTGAAGCAGTGCGTAAAGGATGACACCATCACCCAAGTCCGCCTTCACGTGCAATCGAACAATGACCTTGCCATGTCATTCTACCAAAAATTCGATTTTATTAACACAGGGTATGTCGGGCGCATGTAGCTTATTCTCGCATGTTTGTATTGCTCCGCATGCGGCGAGTACTTGTCTATACATTTCGTTTCGCTGATTGCGTCACTGCATACCCTGCGGCCGTTGCTCGTATCGATTCAGCAAATGCCCCCTCCACTTCTAAGAATTTTGCCGGGTGTATCTATGTGTGGTTACATGCACACATTGGATTGCATATCGTATCATGCAAGATGGTACGAATTAACACGTTACTCATCTTCTGCCGTCGTCCCGTTTGGTTTCTTCTGCAGCGCCGTGGCGTCATACTACAAAGATCTGACGCCGTCAGACGCGTATTTGTTAGTTAAGAATATCGAGCACGACCTCCCTGTCACGGAAGGCGTCAGTAAGATAGCCATATAATTCGCTAGAATTACGAAAATGACACATAACAGCAATTAGAATAAACAACTATGTTTTAAATGGCGGTTTATACGCTTTGTATATTGGTCCGGAAAATTGTATAGCTGACGCCTACACGATCGGTAGGCACAAATCCGTTGCTCGAGAGTCTTTCTGTCTGATCGAGATAATTTACAAGCTGCCTTAAAAGCAAGTTACAAGCTGTCCCTCTTGACTACAATGGCGAAATCTTCACTCACAGTATTGACAGCAGACGCAGGCGATGCAGGTAGTATATTGAGCTATTTTTTTTTGGAACTAGATGTAGAGTACGAGGGGGTGTACGACGAGACTAGTTAAACCCATTCTGCTGTTGAACCAGTAGGCGACGTTGTGTCTACAATTCCTGCTTTCACTCTTGTCTGCTTGGTCTGAGGATCGGATCGCTAAGTTCCCTCTATGTCCGAAAAGTATTTCATAGTTTTGACATGTAGTGTCTCGAAAAAATTGTAATGTTTTAATCTTTTTATTGACGGCTCTAATGACCAGCTGGCTCTCTGATCGTAAACCTCATTCGCATGAGACCAATTCTGGACAAATCCGCAGCCTTCGCGCATCAGGTAGCTGACATACAGATACAGGTCAGAAGAGCACACGTTCTGGTATCCAAACCAACGGACGAATTCCAGTTCCTTCATTCCAATGTCAGCATCAGCCCAATCGGAGTACGTGCATGCATGATATATAGATATTGCCGAAGTCAAAAGCCATTACAGTAGACATACATCGTCCACCGTGTTTAAGACTCATCCAAGGCAACATACAAAGCTGATCGTACGGCTTTGGTATCGCAAGGGATTCCGTTCCATAATTCAAATTGGCAGAAGGCTTGTTCCAGAAGCATTTCAACACCTTCTACAGTGGCGATACCGGCGTCAGCAGCCTAGAATTGTAACCATTTCAAATAGCATCAGAAACCACTTTCCAAATTCAATTGACAGAGATCAAGCACGACAGCAGTGAATAGCATGTACCTGGCTCTGCACGGCCATTGGTAAAGGTATCAAGCCCGCTATGCATAGATTCATCAATATAAATAGATATGTATCGGCAATATTATATATATATATATATATACCCGCATCCCCAATCGCATGTAAAACGACATTCGAGGACAATTAAGTAAAGAGTCCGCACTCGCGACTGCGACTTACACGTGCGATACAAATTCAGTACCAGACGTAAACACGATGTAACAGCTTCAACGCTTTCCATGTGCAATCTAACGCAACTGAGTCGGCAATGATTGCTTTCGTTGAGGTAGTGAGTTTGTCTGCTGTGTACCGTGGCCTCATGGGCTGCACAGTTACTAAATCCTTAAACCCTAAAACCCTTACCTGACGCAACAAAGCTGTCCGGCGAGGTAGATATGCCGCATCGAGCACAATCGACACTGACTGTAGCACTTCAGAGGGCAGCGTAATCTCCGCACTGGCTGGTATCGTACTCACAACACACTGTTGGAGAGGCAAGATAGGCAATGAGTAATATGAGTGTGTGGGCCAGGATTAGGTTGTGTGGATCGCATATCAGAACACGCTGAAGCTTCCCGTTTACAGTTAGTTCGCCTCCAGAGTTCTCGATAGTATTGGATCAAAACGCCTTCTGTACCTTACTGTTGTATAGCGGAGAAGTGTGGCAAAACGAATATGTAGGCACACAGTATACGCATCTACATCAATACCTGTATCGACGCTGGTATTGCTGCCAGCTCAGTAACGGCGGTAACACCAAATTGATCTGCACGAGGAAGAAATATGCTTCAGTATATGACTGCTTAATGCGATTACAACCAAAATTAGATACACAAACGCGTGACACTAGTCGATAAAAACACATCAGAGCGGTTCGTATATCAACCAACGTGGAGCTCTGGATGCCAAATGTTTCGAGGAGTCCGTTATATAAGTTGTACTAGTTACTGTGGCAATTTAGGGCGCTTAGGGATCATATATGTAAGCAACGGTTGTATACGCCGTATGGACATATCTAACAATTGCAAGGGGGTCGCTTTTGGAGCCGATCGACTACAAATGCGATCCTTATAAGAGACAGACACTGTGGCAACATACTACCTGCTGTTGACAACTGACTAAAAATGTGGTACTTATACGAGTCATACTAGCCACTTTTGACCACTGACAACACACATAGATTGCCTTCGCATCGGTGGTATACGCCATACCAGCTAAGGTGACTGCTTTGGACGCAGAGCGATTGTATATGTACACATCCGCAACTCCCATCTGCCGCAGAGTGTAACACGCCGCACGAGCCGTGCCCCCGGCGCCAAGCACCAACGCCGTTTTCGGCGGGAAAGCTATTGAGTGGGCCGCAGCGCAAGCCGACAGAGACTTTTTAATGCCCAACCAGTCAGTGTTATCTCCTGAAAAAGAGTGCGAGGTTTAAGTATCAATCGCGGTGATTGAGTAGGGTTGCCCTAGAAACGGGCCTAGGCAAATAAAACACGACTTGGGATGGCTGAAATGATGTACACTGGTGAAGATCTGTTGCAAGACAAAAACGAAAATCCACAAACCTAACAACTTTCCGTCCTCAGTTTTGATAACCGTGTTGACAGCGCCAATGGCCTTCGCAGATTCGCTCAGCTCCGACAAGTACGGCATAATATCCTGCATCGCACATTTGTTTGCAAAAGGGTTAGCTGATTGATAACAATCCGACAAGCGTACAAGCATTTATTACTTTGGTAGGAACGACGTGAATTTAGCAGATTAAATGGGCAAACTCAAGATATATCGGACCATACCTGTTTGTGGGGGATGGTCACCGAGCAGCCTCCAAATGCAGCCTCTTCAAAAACCTTGACCGCCACCTTGATATCGTCGCTTTCGTGCAGTGCGTACTTGCTCAACAGGCCCAGTTTAGCGAATGCCTGTGTTCATGACGGAATGCGAATGGGCGGATACGATTGGTGTTCAGCTGAATAGCCTATGCGAGGCGCTGTTAAGGCAAGCCATGGACCCAAGGCCCTTATACGATATCAAAGTAAGAAAATAAAACAAAATGGTGTCTTGCAGCCACCACAGCCTTACAAGGCACATCAATACAGTCTACTAACCACAGGTTGATGTGCCCAACTCAACCCGATGAGTCAAACATACCGTGTTGTGTATCAACGGTGATGGCGACTTTGAAATTGGGCTGCCCAGCAGATAGAACTTACGCGCGGGCAACATGCCGATGAGTGTCCTCAGCGTGTGAATCTCATCCACGCACAGTTGTCCAGGTGCCGCAATCAAGGGCAAAGCCTGCAATAGCGGGATAGGAAGGGTGTCATGAAACTTCACATATGTTGTACCAGAATCTGTCCCAGCCCGTGATAGCAGCGTAAGCTACTGGCCTGATTGACACTCAAACACTGTGAGATATAAAATCCGCGCAATACCTTGTGTGTGACTGGAGTGAGGAACGTATTCAATGCTCTCGAGAGTGTCCCGTTCTTTCCCATGGCCAGGGCAATGATGTTCGTATCTTCTGCGCTGAAGGGGAGTTTGCTCAGCATGCTTCGTAGCGTGTACACATCATCGAGTTCAGTTGCCCGCACCACGACCTGTCAATGCAGACAGTTAATAAAACTAATTAGATCCGTCTCCAAATCATTTCTGGACGCACCGTCAAAAGATACAAAATGTCTCACGCCGAGTGGAACACGTTCAGAAACAACTCGTCCACATCACCTCGGAACTATAAATCTCCCACGAATACAAACACTTAGTAACGTACCTTGACCACGTCAACCCGTCCCCCATGGTACGCCTTGATGAACTCTTCCTGTATCGTATCCCAGGGCGTGACATCTCCTGCCACGTGGAACGACGCAACAAGAGCACTCGCCTGTCGATTCTTGAGGAGATTTTCGCGGACCGCGCCTGACCAGATTGTTTCGAAATCAACATATTCGCAGCCAAGCTGTTGAAAAGTACCAAAATGATATGGATATCAACCCATTAATAAGAGACGCGGACATCATATTTTCGTTGCTTCTTGTTGGTGCCGTTTCTCCTAATCGCACCAAATAGATATCACGAACACGCTGAGCTAGCAGTACATTTATGAGTCGACCACCCCAAAGGCTCGCTAACGGACAAGCCGGTGATCATACGAAATTCGAAAATCTCGAGTCATGATCGCAGAATTTAGCATATAGTTCTGATATAATGTCTGAAACCAGCATAATAATCGTATATATATATATATATAAATATAAATATATAAATATTTATATGATACAATATAACATGAAATAACAGAATATAACATAATATATATATATATATATATATATATATTCTTATATATATATATATATATACTTATATATATAATGTATACATATATATTCTATACCTTGACACCTAGGTGGAGAAGCGAAAAAAGCTTTTCCTCAGATCCCGAGAAGGCACCGCCTTGCGTTACCGATCGCACAGTGTAGACGATCGGCAAAGGCGAATGGCGTCGTAGAAGCGCTACCTGTACATCATAAAGGAGAATACATATTTTAACGGTCAGATGTGCAGGCGTCCTTCGAGATTAGAGTAAATTGTAGTCGACTATAAGGATGCCTCCCTGGGTAGAAGGGAATGCCATACTCCGCATCACTACACAGGGAACAGTTCCGCAAACGTGACGCTTGCTCACAACCAGAGGAGTGATGTTTAGGACAACCCAGTCAATCCGAGCAGGCGCACCACAACCAGCTACCCGCCAGGACAGAAAACCACACGAATTAACGAACCGACACGAACATGCGAGACAACCCAGCCCTTCAACGGCTCAAAGCAGTCGTGTAAGGTACGTGCAAACGCCATATTGAACTTATGGCCGTAACGGATATCGTTTATATCACCAAAGTAGAAAATATCGAACTTCAAAGATACTTCCAACAGCCACTAAATCTCACCTGCTCCGTAACAAATTCCGGTGCATGGCTATTCAGTAAATCAACGCGCAATTCGAGAGCATTGACGCCCGAACCCAAGACATCCAGGCCAATGGCAATAGCCTCGCGCACATCACCAAATGTCAGCGACAAGAAGAAACTGGGATGCCCAGTGGTCTTGCCCAGAGGCGAAGGAGAGCTGATGGTGCGCATGAGACGCAGGAAATCTTGCACCACCGCTGGCCAGTTTGATTCGCCCTTCAGAATGGGGAACACGTAGGAACGGCACTGCTCGTATCTGCAGCAGTACGCGGGATAGGGTGATACATATAAGAGGGTGGGGGTGGTAAAGTATTAAGTATAGAACCGTTTCAACGACTATGAGGCACTGACGGGTGCCACAATCGCCACAGCCATTGAAAATGTTTGTGCGCTTTTGTTACGTGACCACCGAAATCATTGTAAATCACAGAATGAGCCTCCCGACACCTTAGGAGCTGCTATCGATGTCAGGTAGACGCATCTCAACACCGAGAAGTCGCCTGCACGGGGCCCTCATCACCACAAACCACGCTGAGCTACTGTGCTACATCTTGCCCATGGAACTCGGTACATACCGTGATTTTCGTTCCAGATAAACCTCTTTCGGATGTTGAGCGAATGACGGACGCGTCTTGTCTTGTAGCAAGTAGTCACAGATGTCGTCAATGTCTCGATCGATGTGAATGACTAAGGGGTGCGCTGCGAGTGTCTTGCACGCTTTCTGTGGGGGGTAAAACAACAGCGCAACTATAAACAAGAAAGAGAGCATTCAAAGCAGACCCCTTAAAAATTATATATATATATATATATGAAATATATATATATATCTGTGAAGTGGTGATACAAAAATATAAAGTAGTTCAAGAACATACCTCGGTTTCCACAATGCCGCCGCCGCAAGCAATCACCCAATCAGTGGAGTACGCGTGATCGCCGAGTATAGATGTCAGTGCTGTTTGTTCGGCTGTGCGGAACTTCGCCCACCCATGCTCCTCGATGAACTGAAACGTGGTATGATATGATGTCTTTCTTGAGATTGTGTCCGTAGGTGCACTATATAGCCTTGTATGTGTCGTTGATTTACCGGCAAGTGTAGCGTAGTGGGCGTGAACTCATGTGGGGCGTATTTGGCGCTTGGAAGTGATAGTATAAGCCGACGTGGTCTTGGCTACACGCACGTTCCCCGCAAGTAGGTGCATGCAACATGATTCCCTCATTAATCCATCATCTTCCCACTTATATCGCATACCTCTTTTAGGGTCGTTCCAAGAACGGTTTCGAGATGCTCATCAATATCGACAAATTTACGCCCCGTTGCTCGCGCAGCCTCGCGGCCGATTGTAGTCTTACCAGCGCCCCTGCGACAGTGGTGACATGTACAACACGCTGTTAGTGTCATTTGATTCACGTTCATCTATGCACACACATAAGGAAACTGCGGTGCATGATTCTTAGCTCAGGTGCCAATTACTTAGCGAGTGTGCGATGAAAGAGTGTTGTCATCTGCAGCATAACGTAAGACCGCGGACGCCAATCATCCATAAGCCATCTAAAGTAACATCGATCGTGCGCGGCCTGTATCGCACTTGATATCAAATGCTATAGCCTGCATGCACAACACCGGAGCGGTAAGCCACTACACGCACCTGTAGCCAATCAAGATAATCGAGGCGTTGGACAGATGAGCTGCCGTTGATTTGTGTGTGCACGTCTCGGGCACCTCCAGAGTCTGGCCCAGAATGGTTTGTAGATCATCCCAGAAGGCAGGGTATGTCTTCTCCACGCAGTACTGTGAGTGTACGGATGGAAATGAGACGATGCATCGTAAATCGAGGTTTTCAAGCTTTCAGTGCCCAGATTTAGGCTTATGCAGTCTTCCTGCGCTTACTGGTTTCTGAAGCGATTCATAGGCTGAGTCGTAGTTACTATCTCTTGATGTAAGTTCGACTGTATACTTTGGAGATATTGCATACATAACACATCATAGGTCAGTTATCACATCAGAAAAGCCATACCTTTTCGCTGATGCTGATCCCAGGCACTTTACAGCCTAAGACGCCGAAAGACATAGCAATGCGATGGTCATCGTAGCAGTGGATGCTTGCAGGAGTCCATGTGCTGATATCAGGGTTGCCGTCGATTTCGATCCCATCCTCCAGCTCACGCGCCTGAACACCCAGCTTGCCCAGTTCGGTGACCATAGCAGCCAAGCGATCGCATTCCTGTATGGGATGTAAACGTGTGCTAAACAGGGTGAAAGGATACTCAAATAGCTTCAATTGTACGACCTAGTCTTTCACAACCACGATTGCAAGATGCCCCGTACTAATATTGTTCATAGAAAAATATGATCTACTACGTGATTGCAGATATGTAGATACACGAACAAGGGAATTTCCCAGTAGCACGAGCTATGGACATCTACAACTCCAAACGGCACTACAGTGTGCATGCGCTGTGTCATGTGCGGAGGAACAACCAACACAAGACACAAACAAACAAAGCATACCTTAACTCTCTGATTTGCAATGCCCGTGAGCCTGCTAGTACCGCTGCTCACACTGCACAGAACGGCGGCTGTCATGAAGGCATCTGTCATGGTCATCATGTCCACGTCCACTGCCTTTAGGTGTGTTCCATGTACTGGTCCCGTGACGGTTGTTGTGCTGCCAGTTTGTTTCACTGTACAACCCATACTCTCCAGGACGCTGCAGAAGTTGGCGTCACCTGTGGTTGATCCGAAGCAACGAATGATATTCAACATCTAGATTTTTTTTTAAAAGACTCGTGTAGATACCATCGCATTGCCACGCCATGTGAAGGTCCATCTGTTTCTTATAACCTACCCTTAACTTTTCCACGCTATACACAAACTTATCTCGTTACCTCTATTTCACAAACTCGGCATCAGGATGGTACGAGAGTTCAGGGTCATTGTGACACAAAAAGTGTCTCATAACAGATTTCTCGTAAAAAAACGTGCTTCCAATGCGACAAGCGAATTCGCTACTACGACATCGAAGTAGTACTTGACACTTGCGTATGTGTGCAAACCGAGAGCACCAAAACGCACTGACCTCATGGACACTACACGAATCGCAGATATACAGTGTTACAATCGCAGATATTCGATACCTTGCAGACTGTCGGATCCAACGTTGTCTACGGTGACGGTGCCCCCCGTGATAGCAGCAATGGCTAAGGGATATGTCGCACTAGACGCATCACCCTCCACGAGGAACTTGGCTGGATTCTGGGGCGTTGTGGTATGGATGTTATAGATGTCTGTGCCATCTTCCCGCTCGACATCTACGCCAAACTGTTTGAGCAGCTGGTTGGTCATGTCAATGTACGGCTGAGATATGACCTCGTCACCCACCAGCGACAGGCACACCTGCTCCTTCGCATAGGGTGCCGAGATGAGAATGGACGACACGTACTGACTGCTGACGGCAGCCGAAAGCTCAATTAAACCACCTGGCAAAAGGGTATAGTAATTAGTATACCCAACACGCATATAAATAAACGTGTGCCAAAGGGTAATAATAATTAATATACACAACACGTGTATGAATAAATATGTGGCGAAGCGTACGATAAAAATGCGTATTGTAACGTTCCGCATATACGACTGACGGAAAGCAGGCATTTAGTTGCAAACCGACAATTGCGCGATTGTGGGAGCGATAACAACGCTTTCGGTGATTGCGTTATCAGTAGATATATTGAAAGAGCCTAGCGCTCTTAGATTGCACAACCGGATTATAGTACATCAACGTATATTCTTCAAAATCGATCGGATAACCAGAGCCTATACATTGCATCGCAATTGAAACTAAAGAGCAGGAAGAGAATAATAGATGCTGCCAAAGAATTTGAGTATGATAGATGCTGCGGCCGAGAGACTTACCATTCAAGCCGCCACCAGGGATCTTCAAGGGTAGACAGCCCTCGGACTCCAGGTACTCGATGGGTGTTCCGTTGGCTCTGAGCGCATCCACCAATGGACCAATGGGTCGCTCCTTCATGCGAGCATTGCCTGATGGCGAGGGAACAGCGAATGATTATCTTGTCGAGTGATATACGAGCAATGTGTACTGCTTCACGATGATAGAAGTTAATTTCGTCTTTGGTGCTAAGCTTCGCTAGGAGAGTACGGAATACAAGCAAGGGGAGAAAGGATAAATATAAACATATCATTGAATTGTCTCAAGTTGAGGACCACATCAAGGCGGTACTATGATACCTGTCAGTGTGGTGATTGCACCTTCGGGGCACAGAGTGACGGCTGTTGTTAGGAAACGGGACGCTGTTCCGGCATTCCCCAGGTAAATCTGTGCATGAGGCAAAGCGTTCGAACTTTTTTTGAGCTTGTCGATGTCATTTTCTTTGAAAGAACAAGGAAGTTAAGCTAACCAGAACCCCGACATCGACAAAGATTGGTCAAACCCCAGCACTCACCTCAACGTCAGCGGTTGTGAATTTACCGCCACTGCCAGTGATGCGCATGACCTCACCATTCTCCAATTGGCTTACGCCCACGCCAAAGCTCTTGAGAGCGTCGACCATAACCTGCGGGAAAGGTCCACAATCAGCAGTCGTGAGATGGCCGCAGATGCATATACGAATACAACCGAGTTCTCGAACACGAAAAGGGGCCACTTGACTTCCGTATAGGAGTATTGTACACGCGAAGCACCCTATGAGAAGGTGGAAGTAGCTCATAATAACCCCAACTAGCGAACATACTGAATACCTGTGTATCATCAGAGTGTAGTAGTCCGGAAACATCGCACTGGCCTTCGGAGAGTGAAGTCATCAGCAACGCTCTGTTTGAAATTGACTTTGACCCGGGCACACGTACTGTAGCGTTTATCTGATTGGCTGGTGTAGTCCGACAAAAAAAGCAGAGAATTGATCAGCGCAGTGACACAAGCAGATAATAAAACTCTTGGCCTACTACGCTCGCTTCATACATACAAAGCAGCACTTACTTCGAGAAATCGGCTTTTTCATTTCGAGAAGGGAATACGTTGAATAGGACGTGCAGTACCAGTGCTTGCGCGGTTATCCATACCTTTGTCAGACGGAACCACCCTCACGTACTCCGACAGGACGCGCGTAAGTGTCAAATCATCGACACATTTGGGTTCTCGACCATCAACTTCGCCCAATGTTTTTATCAATACAAGTCGCTTCACACCATTTGTATTCTTCTTGTCGACGGACATCTGCAAGCAAAGGTAAGAATATCAGAGCACAAACCTTAAGAACAATCGTTATTTACATGATCTTTAACTAGAGCGAGTGTAGCGTTTATCTGATAAAAGAAATCACACCTTGTGACGCTAGATACTATTCTCCCAATAATTTGATTTTATGATTCGCCACGCTAGCATGCTTTTACAAACGAGGGGGTAGCCATCACCTTTCACTTGTAAATACTTTACACTTGTAAATGAGACAGACACAATTCAATAAACCTTACGAGATATACTACTTAATAGTACAAAGCGATGGCACAAGCACGTACCTTTTTCATCAAGTCAGGTATAGTCAAGTGTCGAGGCATCACTGTGGGGAGACGGTATAGTTTCAGCATCCGAGCCAGCCGACTGACATTGGCCTGAGAAAGTATACCCAGAGCCCTGGCCACCTCTACCTCCCGCATCATACCAATGGCAACTGCCTCTCCGTGCAGCATCTACAGTGATAGCGAACAGTACACCCATAGGGGGTGCGCAGATTGGACTATAAGTGTAATGGTATGTAATGGTAGCAAATGACAGCGCAAACCTGTATACGGCAAGTTGAGACAAAATTATATCAATCGGCGCCGGTAGTATTGATCACCTGGGCATACCGATAATACCCATTGTGAAGCGACAAACATACCTCGGGCTGGCATAGAGCCTCGATGGCATGTCCTATTGTGTGACCAAAGTTCAGCAAGCCCCTTAAGCCGCCCTCTTTCTCATCCGCTGTGACTACCTCTGCCTTGACCGACGCACTTTGGGTTACGATATGTTCCAACGCATCTAGATCTAGATTTAAAATGTCATCTGACCTGCGCATTGAAAATTTGGACAGTGGGGACATGATGGCAGCCAATACGAAAGTGGTGAGTCCTGTGGAGTTTATGGTTTACACCAGTAGAGAAATAAACTTCACCGTCTTAAATACAGCCACGAGAAAGGGTAGCATACCTTTTTTCTAAGTACTCGAACTCGTCGCTGCTCCAAATCGCGGCGGTCTTGATAACCTCTCCCATACTAAAGGGAAAATGAAGTCAATTCTTGAGCGGTGTCGACCAAATTTTGATTCTCAATTCTTCCACAAATCAATTGGCAACGAAGCAATACACGTCGAGGCCGGATATAAAAGTCCCGTGAACGCACTACAAATCCAATTCGAATGACTTTACAGGCCGTGCACTCACTCACCCGTTGCAAATCTGTCGCATCGGCAGCGTGAGCAGAAAACTGACGTTGAGATACACCCGCGCAGGCTGGTGGAAGGCGCCCACCAAGTTCTTGCCATGGGGCGTGTCTATGCCCGTTTTGCCGCCGATCGATGAGTCGACCATAGCGAGTAGTGACGTTGGGATCTGCACGAATTTGACACCTCGCATGAATGTGGCGGCTACGTATCCAATGAGATCGCCGATAACTCCACCGCCTAATGCCAGAAGGCAGAGATCTCTGTACAATAGAGTGACCCGGTTGTGATGTCAAATTAGCGGCCAGGTGTGTTTAGAGTTCTGGTATGATGGTTATTCATTCAATCCATACTCAACAATTGATTCCTAGCCTGACCATCTAGTACGTAACAAGGGTGAGCTTCTCTATTCACCTGCAAATCATTAAATCAAGATGGTAAGATACGCACCTGGAACATTGTTGCTCGAGCAGCCAGTCTTCTATTTCAGCTTTTACAGAGCGGCATTTAGACGCTTCCCCCGAGGGAATAATGTACGATAGCAGTTCTACACCGTTGGCGGCGAATTCGCTGACAACCTTTTCTAAATACTGGAGATAAGCACACACAAAGGAGGAATTAAAACAGAGACACCGAAGGTAAATCATGAATATGAATATGAATATGCATATCAAACTAATCTGAAAGTACAACAAAGCGGCAACATGTCCTTTTGGAGGCTGATAGTCTAAAAAATTCAGAGAATGAAACATCTAGACTCCTCAATGTATTCGCTACTTAAACCATAAGTACTTACCAGAGGTTCGATATTCTTATCCGTGACAATAACGTACTTTCCGGCTTTCACATTTTGCACCACATCTTTCGCAATGAAAGGCAGTAAATCCTGTAAGCAAGTACGTTGGAATAATTATCATGGATTAGGGGTACTTTTTTCGAGCTAAAAATATCTCATTCCCGCTGCTCGAAATAATGAGTGACGGGCTCTATGCAGAGTCCAGTGGTACAATCATAGCTGTATACCTGTAGAACCACACAAATGCTTCCAAATAAACATGCCATAAACACAGTACAAGTGACAAGAATTCCCGATCAACTTTAAGTTCAACGTATCTATCATATCGTTGTAAAGAACTGACATATTTAAACTACACTCAAACAGTACCACATGTTCATACCAACAGTTGGAGCAAATTTGCGGCATACTTGAAAACCTACCTGACCAACATAGATGTCCTTTCTACCGAGAATAGATATACTCTTGGCCCCGTACATATTTTCGTTCGCTGTGTGTATGGCGACAGGGTAGGAATAAGATATACTTCTAGAAAACTCTTAGTCATAGTTAGCTATGACAGATTACGATGAAGATATCATGCAGAAATTCCAATCAAACACGTTGCTTGACACATCATCTGAAGAAAAAATCACATCAATATGCAACACATTAATGTATTGACGCAGTAGTGATGCAATGTACAATATGTGGGGCTGACTTTCAGAGAGAATATTAAGTATACACAGGGTATTGTAATACTAATACACCTCCATGTGGTCACACACACTCATCATTTGAAGAACAACTCCCATCGATATGCAAGAGAATGATATACTGACGCCAAAGTGGTTAGATATACGGCAGATGGGACGGACTATGCGAAAAATATTAAGCATACATGGAGTATGAGTACATATCACATGTACTATATCTACTACTAACAGCGTGCAATAGTAAGACACCTCCATGAGGCCCCACACGTTGCTTCACACACTATCTGAAGAACAACTCAAATCAATATAAAATACAATATTAAATTGATGCAGTAGTGACACTATATACAATAGGTGGGGCCGACTATGCGAATAATATCATTTGCACAGAGAATGAGCCTACATGTCACATATTTACAATATCTACTAATAACAGTGTGCAATAGTGCTACACCTCCATGTGGTACGGACACGTTTGACCCACAACTCACAGGTAACTATTGCCATATTGAATCACACATGCCCATACCCATATTGAACACACTGTCAATATAACTGGTGCGCTCTACTCGGAAATAGTATAATTTATTGGAATCAGCACTATATAAGGTTGTGTATGGTGGCTAGGCTAAACAATATATGAAAAAATATTTACAGAGCAACATGTCAGGCGTCAGCTCAGGCAAAGGCTTCTATTTACAAATTACAACCCCTTCCACAATATTTATTAATTATTGATGACCTGGGTTGAGTCAGACTAAAATTTTTAGGGTTCTAGAGTTTGCTCCACGGTACTATCGTATCACATGGTCTAAAATAATCAAAAAGCTATAAACTTCTACATTCACATCAGTATTTTTTTAGAGGTCTTTCTGATCTCACCACTGATCGACAGATAGTGAATAGATCATTAGGATAATACAGTATGTTAGGATCGCCAATTCCACGTTTCAGTTATGCATACACACTCTCGATAGGGTTTTTCATCGCGCTTTGTGTTGCAGGGACGGGTGTCTTCAGTCAGGTATGCCAGCTAGGAAGAGCTTTATTCTAAATTGATTAAGCGTGACAGGCCTTGTTATCATCGCACATCGCTTGGGTCGTCTGATGAGAGAGAAGTTGTTTAGTTTACATCATGTAAACTATCTCCTGATTGCTTGTGATAGCTTTCTATCAGATTTCTAATTTAACTTATGCGACGTATGTGTGTATACACATCGCAAGAATCCCGCTTGGTCGTCCATGTACAAATATATCGGTGCATCTACCTGTCGTGGGTAAGCTTTTGTATTGAAGGGGTCCACCGTCCTTGTACCTCGGGCTTACTTAAAATCAGGAGCAATTGACATATGCTTATCTATGATTATAACCCCGCAAGATCGTGTGGAGCAATCTCGTCACGCTGAAGCTATTTGTCTCGTTAGTCGAACGCGTCACATACAGAGCCCTCGTTGCTTTAAAATTTGTACCTTGGAATCGAGCTTGAATGTTCGCTAAAATTTTGAGTCTCCACGAGATCGTCAGCATTTTTATTGCCGCAGATTACGCAAGTTGTTGAGAACGTGCGGCCTGTGTTCCTGTATTTTCAGCTTCGTTGATATATTCACATTATGCTTTGTACTATAAACCCACCGCCTAATTTGTGACGGTGTTGCATATGTAAGTGGTTCCATATCATCTTCTATAGCGATTCTTTTGTGATCTCCTTGAAAAGGAATGATTGATACAAATCTACATGCCATGGCTATTCCTGAATATATGTACGGCTTGATTGTGTACACCTGTGATAGAATGTGAAGTGCATTTTGCAAAAGAATGAACAGCGCCGTTAAACGCAAGTGACTATGGTAGTTGTTGTATGATCAAAGGGTTCATGCCGCAGTCCATTCGCTTCTCAATTATGCGTGCTTGTAGTATACTTCTGGAACACCAATGGAAACCTCAAATTGTAAACACAACAATAATGACAGTACTCGGCAGTCGCATCGCATTCCCGGTTGGATCATAATACGCACGAACACTTCTAGTGCTTGTGCTGTTTCTAAAAAAATATTTCTACCACGTTACAACTTTTATTTCTCACCCTTTAGGCCTTAACCGAGTCTGTTCGAGAGCCCTTCCCCTTGACGCAGACCTTCTTCACATATGTGTGCCTCGCATTCGTATATGTACCGGTCTTAGCGTACAAGGGTATCTTGCTTTCCACAATCAAGGAGCTAGGCCTAGTGATATTCGCGATTTCATTTCTAGATGTGCAGGCTAATTACTTGATCGTGAGTGCCTACAAGTACACGTCAATGACCAGCGTACAGGTATGTCAATGGAAAGCTCGGTATTGTGTATACATATGTTATCGATGGTGTTGTCTATTCGTACGATACCCTCGTTAGAACAACACAATCGAAAGCACTCCGCATACACATAATATTATCTATGATTTGCATTAGGATTGTCTACGACTATATGCCTCCTCGAGTCTTTCTGCTCAATTTCTTGATAGGGCGTTGAGTGATTGCTCGCAACATAACTTTTTATATGCTACATGAAAATACATGAGCACGATAATGCTTCTAACCGGGGCTCAACTTTGTCAACTGTGAATGTCCAATTCAAAATGAAATCTCTACTCGCTACAGATTCTGGATTGTTTTACAGTGCCATGTGTTGCAGTGCTATCGTACGTATTCCTTGGATCTCAATTCGAGAGGCATCATCTTCTCGGTGCTTGCTTGAGTTGTTCTGGAATCTTCCTACTTCTACTGGTTGATCAAGGGAATACCACCCCATCATCGAATCCCTTGTACGGCGGTCTGCTGTGCATTGTGGGTGCGTCACTCTACTCGGTCACCAATGTGTGCCAAGAACACTTCGTAAGATCAGAATCGAGTATCCAGTACCTAGCTCTGCTGGGTGTGGGAGGCGCGATCATATCAGGCCTACAGGCAGTGGTTCTAGAGAGTACGATAGTCCAAAACGAGGTCATCACTGCATATGACTGTCTCCAGGTGGCTGGGTTTACGGCGTGCATGTTCGTGGTGTACTCGCTGATCCCCGTGTTCGTACACATGGCCAACGCGACGTTCCTAAATATGACGCTGCTTTCTGCAGATATATTCAGTCTGTGCTTCGGGGCACTGATCTTCAATATGATGGTAAGGATTTTGTTATGTCTACTTTCTGGTTCTGTTGTAGTATGATTGGACAGTTTATTTTCTCTCGCAAGAGTGCGAATACATATCGAATCTGCGACACTATATACTTTTGCTTACGCCGCGAACTGGAACACAAGGCTAATTACTCGCGGTCGTTCGCTCGCCAACGATTGTCCATACTGCTAACTTTTGCCAAAGATCTATAAAGCGTCTAATGTTTTTTTTCACTGGCCATCTACCACCCAGTTCTCCGCGGTATACATCGCATCGTTCGGGTGCATTCTTTGCGGCATTGCATTGTATGTAGCGCCTGCAACCGCGGCCGATCTAGAGAGGGGATCCCAGAACAAACACACAGGTGCGACTCCCGAATTGACAGAGTCTTCATTATTGTTAGGACAAAATGACGACATCGCAACCCTGGCGTAGAAACATATTGGCACTGCACTGGTGTATTCCCAGACACTGTACAGAAGTGTTATGTAGTTACAACCTCATTTAGTAAGTATTGGGCGCAGGCCGCCGAAAAAGCAACACTTCTTCCTAGAATCTGCATGGATAATTACACACTCGACATTATTTCATTCATGTGTGAAGCCCGGATACCAAAATTACGTTATATTCCCTCACCTAATGAAACCCGAAAACCACCCTCGAGTGACCCTTTCAATGTTTCACAACTTCATAAAAACAAATTAGATAAAGTGTGCCGTATCGATGGTATTATCTCCTCTTGTGTGTGTATTATTTAGTTGTTTGAACAAGAGAAAAATATATCCGTGCGAGTCTCCCAACAAAAACTAAAAATTCGAAAAAGCGCTTGATAAAAACAAATTTCAAAAAAAAAAAGTGGAAAATCCGGTCATCAATTTTTTCATGTGGAACGATGTGGTCGACAAGTAAAAATGCTGCGATGGCGATTGACTCGCGATTCGCGCGTTGATTGCTAAGAACGGGGATGGTTCTATGTATTAGAGCACTATAGAGAGTATAGAGAGTACAGACAATTTCCAACACATGCTCCCAGTGGGCCAACCGGCCAAGTCATCAGTGGAAATGGGAATTTTGCTGCGCAGATATTTGATAAAACAAACCGAATAGTAATCAAGCATAGCCATACATACATACAGGAGAGCAGAGTTATTATAGAATGTTTGCGATTATACACAGTAGACAAGCGACGAAAACGATCGCGTCGCGTTTTGTCCGATGCCTACCTGCAAAAGCCTGTTATGCAAAGCAAGCCACAATAGAACAAGATGACATCTCAGACGAGACACTTATAGAGGCGCTTGCCGACGGCTCACAATCACACCATCAACTGGAAAAACTGGTAGATGCACCTCGAGCTGTACAGATTCGCCGAAAGTACTTTAATTTAGCACAGAAGCAAGATGATACCGCCGGCAATATAGCACAGCTTCCTTATGAAGCGATAGATGCGAATGATTTCTACAGCAGAGTGCAGGGTGCCAATGCCGAATGTGTGGTAGGCTACATTCCCATGCCCGTGGGTGTGGCCGGTCCGCTGAGGTTGGATGGAAATGATTTTAATGTTCCCATGGCAACAACAGAGGGTGCCTTGATCGCTTCGACGAACCGAGGCGCACGCGCTATTCATCTCAGCGGAGGTTTGTAAGGGTAATATGCATGCCACGATGCATATAGATTGTCACTGATTTCAAATTTGCACTTACAGATAGTCTTCGAATGTCCCGTAGTATTGAATTCGTGTTAGCTGTTGTGATATCCGTCACATGAAGAAGTTTATATATATATATATACATGTGTTCATATTTAAATATATATAATATATATATATATGTATATATATACATTTATATGTATATTTAGATATATGTGTATATGTATGTATATGTATATGCATATTTGTATATCTATATATATATATATATATATATATATATATATATATATATATATAGTGTAGTACTATATATATATATATATATAGTGTGTGTGTGTATATATATATATAT